TTATGTTAGTTTTTAATGACGAATAAATTAGTAGTTGATTCTTTATTGTTTTATCATCAAATGATTTACTTATAGAAAGAATTTAACGTTTATTTGAACTTGAATGTGATCACAACAAACAAGCTCGTGTTGATACAGAAGGAACAAATATATATATTCATAGTTCAGCCAATGAGAAAAATATTAAATATATATGAAAGCACAATTTGTTTTACAACTGATGTGATATCGAATAGAATTTGTTCATTAGCAATGAATAATAATTAAATAAATCCATATATATTTTCAGAAAATAATATTTATAGAAATAGAAATAAATTAATTTATGTACCAATTGATCATGATATGCAGAAACATACAACTAGAATTAAGCGATCAAATACTAATTCTAGTGAAGTTCTGTAATAATTTTTTCTGTTTCCGTTCTATTTTAATCATTTGAATAAAATTCAGGATTATTCTAATATGATTAATAATTATTTTAGTTTTCGATTTTTCGCAAGGGGGAAGTAACTGATTTCGTGATTTCAAAGGGTTTCGATTGATTTCGCGCGAAATCGAAATTAATTGAAACCAGTTTCCAGACAGGTTAAAAGCATTCGGAATCGTTCGAAATGAACTAAAAATCATGCAGAATCATATGACATTACTTAGCGGTGTACCAGGCTGGCAATGACCGGTAGGGAGAGTCTCAGAGACCGAGACTGAAAGTTTTGACCTCCGTGCATCCCTGAAATCATTGAAATCGCCTGAAATCATTTGAAATTGCTTGAAATCAACTGAAATCACCAGAAATCAACGAAATCAATTGAAATCAGTTTTTCCTTCTTTAGTGACTTGATCAAATTGCAGGTGATTTTCAAATGATTTCAAGTTGATATCCGTATTTGAAATCAGTTTCTTCCCCCTTGATTTTTCGTAATTTATTTTTGATAACTTTAGTTCAATTATGGAGGATGCCAAGCAGACTTTAAAAACCATAAGATGGATGCGACCAATGGTGAAAAATTTGAATTATATATTTTTGTTTGTTCTTTTACAACTGAGAATCTCTCAACAGCCAACAGAATCGGAATACTTAAAAATCATATTGCATCGAATACTTATTTTCGACTATCCGAATACGTTTTGATTCCTCAGTACTCATTAGAGTTTTGGGTTCTCGGCGAAAGAAAACCTATTGAAGATCTCACGATTTGAGAAAAAAACGTATCGAAAGAATACTGTTCATCGCTCCAGTGGAGCCAAACCTACCCATGTAAAAGTGTATGCAAAATTTAACGATTTAACGAAATTTAATGTTACCTTTCTGTCCTTGAAAACGCGTTAAAATATGAATTTAACGAATTTTCACTTGTTTCTCTACGTTAATAATTATTTTAACGCGTTTTCAAGGACAGAAAGGTAACATTAAATTTCGTTAAATCGTTAAATTTTACATACATTTTTACATGGGTAGTACAACAACAATTTCGATCAGTGGGTCTAATTTTGGTTACCTGAAACTTGTCTAAAAAGCGATATTGAAAGGTCTTGTACTTCTATTCAACGATCTTAGCAGAATCATTTATGTTTGATATATATCGTCTCACCTTAGTTTCATAATTTTCGAAGCAATATTTAACATCAGCTGCTGAAAACTAAGATTGAAATTTGTCAGCGTTCTTGACGAAGATACAATCACAAAGGATTTTTGCATTTTATACTTTTGAAAAAATGTCGAAACATTGATTTTATATTTTAGTACATAAATCAGTTGATTATCGAATGTCATATTTATCATTGAAGTTATTTATAGAGCATGTGAAATTCAAGCAAAGCATTTCGTTTGAATAGATGTATACAAAAGTATTCTTTTTGATCTTAAAATAAAAAGATCTTGTTTTTTTTTTATTAGTAGCAGAGGTTAAAACAACAAATAATCATCAGAATATTATCTTTTCAACGAAATAAAAAATCTTGTTCTTTTTTGTTGTTTTTAACTTAAAATTATTTCAAGAATAGCTTGACTTAGAATACAAAAGCATTATTGGCCGAAAAGGGTTCATTATTTAAGAAATTCACTTCTCTAGAAGAGCCATATTTTGGACTTCTCTTGCATTTTACATGAGATCCCATAGTTTTTTTTATTACTAGGTACATGTTTCATCAAGAGATATCTTTTGGCGTTCAGTTTTCTAAACTAAAATCCTTGCCTAATGATCATTGATCCTGTCTCTAGAAGTTATATTATTGCATTTAAGACTTACTTCAGGTTATTGTCCAGTGCACACGACTAGGTCACACAAATGTTTTTGGAATAAATTTCTATTGAAGTCAAGTGCAGTAAAGATCATCGATGCACCATATGAATCTATAAAATAAGGGATCATAGCTGCTTTAATGATAATTCATCAATAGTAACAGCTATTGTGTTCGAGTTTATATCATTGAATAGGAACTATCTAGTGCTATTTAATGTCTCGAGTATCACATACTCAGAAAAGGTTTTCAGTTTTCTCCCATAAACATCACTATAGAGCGGTATACCTAAAACCGAAAGAAAGTTCAACTTTTCCTGTAATGCTGCAAACATTCAGATTGTGACTACTACGCCAATCTTAGAATGACAGCTGTATGCTCAGTAGAGTTTGCTTCTTTTATCATATGATTCATATGTTCAAAGTCGCATTTGATTACTTGTTTAGAAAGATGAAACCTTGATCAAATTAATAATAGTGATAACTAATTAGCTATGAAACTAGTATTATGACACTTACGATATTGAACGAACAATATGCAGTATTTGTTGGTCTTGACTTAAAATCTATTATTGGTTGCAAAAAACTCATATAATGCTATTTATATCATGCAATATTTAAAAAATAGATATTCTAACATTATATGTTATCGTTTTGCAACATTTTAGCTATGTAGATATCTACATAATTATTGTTATATTGCATGGAAATCAAAGAACAAAAAAATAACGTTTAATGTTTCTTAATGTCACTAAATTTGAGAAGAATGCATAATTTTCATCGCAATAGCACGTAACATATCGCAGTTGTATTGTTTTCATTATTGAATCTACAGCGTGGATTTCTTTTTCATTGAGTGTCTATTGTTCATCAGTATCATTTACAACATTGTAGTTGATATTGATCTGAATTAACGTTGATACAGATGATCGAATACTATTATTCTTTGATTACGATGGATTACCATTCTTGCTTATTTTAGACTTTACTTTCGAAAAAAAAGCGTTTAATGTGTTCAGAAGATAGTCAATAGTTTTTACTGAAAGGCTGTTGATCATCCCTTTCGACAAACACTACCTCCTAAAATATGAGAAGTAGTCATTTCTGTACAAGATCTAAGCTTCTGATTATTGTTGAATTTTATGTAATCCATTCTTAGAAAACTAAACAACGAAAATTAAGACATATGAAGTAAATGATTAACAAATATCTTGTAATGGTTTATATTAGAAGTTGCTGGTCTTCCGAAATGAAATGAATTATTTCCTTCTATATTTTTATTTATGTAAAATCAAAAGTGTCTGCTGTACATAAAAGTACTTTCCTTAATCTTTTGATATAGTTTGATATGCTTAAAGATTAATTCGGGTTCATGAAAGTAAAATGAGATTGACATATGGAAATTCACTAATAATCTGTTAGAGAATGTTCAGTAATTCTCTTACTTATTTCATCTAACTTTTATGATAGTCCACTTCTGATAACGCAAGAGGACCCCATTTAATACCTGCGACTACAACTTCAACAAAGACACATGAAGAAATTTTGCGACATCATTATTGTAATGTGTCAATGACTATTTTTTCGGAACAATCCATTTCTGTAAGCGTTTGTTTTCCATTGGTGATTAGGTGGCAGAAAACTATGCAATGACTACAACAGCTCTCTTTCTTGTTCATATAAACAAATATATTGAAAAACAAAAACGTGCCTTTTTACATAAGTAGTAGTTAAACGTTCCGTTCGATATGAACGATATTTCATCGATTCTATGCCTTCACTTATAATTACATCTATAAAATGCATCGATGAAAACATTTAGTAGGATATTTTGTCCGCATCTTTTGAATTTCTCTATGCGTTGATCGAAATTCTTTCGACCATTGTTAAATGTTCGATTTAATAAACATTATGTCCAAACAAAACCATGAATTTTTGTCCTGCTTATACGTTGAACGACATGCCATTTGATGTACAAGGTATCGGTAGAGTTCAATTTAATTTGTTTTCATCAAAACATCAAGCAATGTTCCGTAGTCAGACAAGCTGAATGGTGTGTTTCTCAGTGTGAATCAGAAAGAGTGCTATTCTATCAGATCACCTTATGCTTTGCAAAACATGTTATCTAAGGATTATATAGGACAACAGATCAAAAGAGGAACAATAGCAGAAACAGAAAGCTAATCGAAAACAGATATGCACTTCATCATGTTGCCATGATTTTTTCTTTCAGTACTGTTCGACTGTATCGAACCGATGATCGGTTTCTTTATCGAACTTTTTCCAAATGCATCTATCAACTCAGTAAAGGTATGTATTGAAAATCATCGTGATGATGAGGATTTTCAGCCGTGCTTTGATTGAATATATCTACTTCGACTTATTTTTCCATTTCGTTCTCATCAATGTGATCGAATAAGCACTTTTTTCTTCGTGTTCAATGCCATGTGAAACAAAAGACGACCAACCGATGCATTCGTCAAGAGATAATCCACCAGAGGGATTTTGGGCTCGTTTTCAAAGCTTCTTTATTGTTTTCTCGTTTGACTGATATTAATGTTGGAACTCGTGTACGGAGAGGAGACTGGACTGGCAGTCAATATCTATTTATTGTGTTTGTGTTTATTGTCAAAAATGAAGTGTAGTTAGGGTACAAAGTTTTCTTTTGAATGAATAATGAACTGTATGAATTTAAGGTGAAGTATAATCAAATAGATTAGACTCCATATCGCATTTCGGTCTCTTAAAAAAGACCTATTGTTAAGGTCTAAACCATTCCCAAGATGACGAGTGCTTTCCAGTGTTTTTTGTGACATTTGTGGTTTTATGAGTACCAGGACCAGGTTTTGTATGCATATTATACTTTGTTGTGTTTTGTGTCGTCGAATGAGAAGTTATAATAGACTGACCATGAGTTGGATTTGTAACGACTCTTAATGGATTTTGACGAGTATTATTGTATTGATCGAATTGTTGTCCCATTGTTTGAGACATTCTGGTCGGCAATTGTTGCTGTAATGGCTGTGTTGTAAAGTGCAGGTTTTCCAGCACTTGATGATGCGGCTTTTGTACTAAAAAACGCGGATCTCCTAACACTTGTAGCCATTCAGCGACGCAAGAAATAAATTTTTTGGCATAGAGTTGTTGCATCCATTCTTGAGGAATTTGGCTAGAACCATAATAAGCACCCGCTAATTGTCCATAAATAGCTCCTGTTGTATCCGTATCATCACCGAGGTTCACTGCTTTGAGTACTCCTGTCTTAAAAGAGTTCTGATCATTCCAAAATGCCCATAAAGCTGCTTCAAGTGATTTTATGATTTGACCACTACCTCGAATTCCCATTGCATATCCACCATCTTTTTTGAATGACCCGGTTGCTACAGCAAGTACTTCGCTGTGAAGTTCATTCTTTCCAAACCAAGCTCGATGTTTAGTACAAAAGTTAGAATCGAGTAAACTTTCTTTCCTTTCGCCGTGTATTGCCGCAACGATGAGAGCTCCATAGTAACGACATGCATCGACTGCTCTTGGATCACCATGTGTTAGACGAGCACTTCGTCCTGAATATTCGACGGCCTTTTCAGGTTCACGATAGAAAAAGAGTGGTACAGGTGCAAGACGCATTAGTGCACCATTACCGTTTGCATTTGATTCTCCGCAATTGACGTCAAATTTTGCTCGATACATTTCTTCATATGAAAACTTGTCCATTTGCTCTTCACTAACAGAATTCAAACGTCGCTGACACTCATTCTGACGACGACAAAATTCATCCAATGATTTGTGTGTCGCATTGCCAATATCAAAGCAGCGTCCGGTTGAAGATAGATAACCATGCTTGTACCACCACTTGTATCGTACCAATTGATCGTATGGATCAAAACCTTTTCGACTAATGAGTGATGAAGCAAGACACAAAGCCATCGATGTATCATCTGTCCATTGTCCAGCTTGAAGACCCCATGTCCCTCCCGATTGCATATTTGCTATAGGGCGATCGACGAGATATTGTCGTGGACGAAACTCAACACTTGCGCCTAATGCATCACCGACGGCTAAGCCCAACAGAGAACCTTTGAATTTATCAACTATTGTCACGCCCACTGACTGATGCGGCGGTTGTACGCATTGAATTTGTTCTGGAAGTAGCTTCTCTTTAGGGTGAGGAAACTTTAATTCTGCCATCAAAAGAAAATCTACAAGTCGAAAAATTGGATTAATAAAAAGTCAACTTTTTAGCTTATCTATGATACCGAAGTTCCACGTATAATTTGTCTATGTGCAAGATTCAATCTACCTGATGAGGACTTCAGCATATGAGTGTATTTGAGGGTGTGAAAGTAGGATGTGCGTTATTTCAATTACACTGTTATAAGCTAGTTAATGTTTGGTTTTAAATATATTCAGAAGTCAAAGAAAATTTAAAACAACAACAACTTAATTGCGCTAGTCATAAGCAACTCAAAAAATATACACGTCATTTTTATACGCTTTTTGCATTGGAAATTATTTGCTACGTTTATTTCTTAAAGCACTAAATCAAGTTTACATGAAATTTTTCTCATAGTCATTTCTTGAAAGTTGAAACTCATCATTTTATGTCTTATTTAGAATTCCTTAAATTCTTCTATAACTTTCTAGACATGTCTGTGGAACAACATAGATTTGAGTCGAAATTCTACGACAATGGGGTTTAAAGTTTATTTTAAAAAAGCTATGAAATATGCACAGAGTCCTACAAATATAATAAATTCATATTTATTTTCAAAAATACTAGTGGGTATTTTTCAAATAAATAGTTATAGAAACAAGATAGAAAAGAAATTTACTTTGTAGGAAAGAGAAAATAGAGACGCATTGAACTATATACTATGATAAGTTTTCCTAATTTATTTTTTGTAGCATTTTCAGTCAAACTTCTAAAAGTAAAGTACATCGGCTTAGGTTTTCGGATAGATTACCTAAGAATCTTGAATTATTGAAGCTAAAGATCTGACTCTTGCGCAATTGTGGGTCTTTGATTAACATTTTAAATGTACACATAATAATGAAAAACTAACTGTAGATTGCCCCTCTCTCCCTTTAAGATGCAGTCACTTTCAAAAATATTGCTTAAAAACTAAAAAGTCTGCATTTTACGATTCAATTCGTCTTCAACGATGAAATTAAAGCTTTCTTTCTCTATCTTGTTTAAATCAACATTTATTCGAAAAATAACCACTCGCATTTTTTCTGAAATGAGCATCGATCGAATATTTGTTTTGCTCGTACTAAGAGTTATGCATAGGAAACATTTATTGCGACAATTGTCTCAGACAAAATTTTACAATCTTTCATGAAACTTCTATTTCCTCCCGATCCATATAAGTATTTTATGTTGTTATTAGATTGGATAGAAACTCTCTATACAAAATGAAACTTAAATAGTTATAATCAAAAATAATAAAGAAAAAGTGCCTCCGAGAATAGCACAGTGTTCTTTTTTACCTTTAAAAGTGGTGTTTTTCTTATTATGCTACATAATGCATTAATGTTCAAATTATGCTTTACTAATTTGTATCATCTACTATCGATTTACATACGACTCATGATCATTGATCACTAGGAGAAAAGCACAAAAGAAATTTTGTTCAAATCCTACCTATTCACTGTCAACTATTCGTAATTTCAGAGTTGACATTGCCGTTATTCGATGAATTTTATTTCCTCTGATGTGTTGCAACTGAAGTTACACGTGTTTTGTTCTCTTACTGTTATATTTGTTCTGTTGTTAAGGATAAGACAAAATACAAAGAAAAAAAAACACCTATATGGTACAAAGCAGCTAAAAAAAGAGTATGCATGTTTACTTAGTTACAAACAAGTAATATAAACAATGCTTCACCTTTGTATTTTGAATTCACTGAATAGAAGCTTTCTATTGCCTGTATTTCTCAAGGTCGTTTTCATCAAAAGGTCTGAAACTTACAAAGTGTATACATCTCAATGAGACGAGGATGTCGGTGTGGATGGAACAAAGACAAAACCCAACATTTATACGCCATAGACTGGTTTTCTGATGACTAACAATGTAAGTTCCAAAAAACTTCGTGGCACGATGGCCGAAACTATATTCAGTGGCGACTTACATGGAAAAATAACTTCTTTTGCATATAAAAATTCTTCCTAGACCTTTTTCCTACTCTAGAGAAATTTGCTGGTTACTTTTCTACAATTTTGTCAAGGTTTGGAAAATTTGATTGATTTGTGCAATCACTCAATAACATAATGTAACCGTAGCGATGATGAGTGGATTGCTGACAAGATCGTAAAAGGGATACTTTGAAAAAATGAATTGTCTGCATCTCTGATCCAATGATCAAAACCTATAAAGCTATTTAAAAACTGATTGTGAGTTTCTAAGATAAGCAATAATACACTTCTGAACTAAACAAAGGAAGATATTCCGTACAGAAGTGACTAAGAGAAAGTAGAATTCTGTAGGAGTCTGTAACATTTTTATAACACAGAAATTTATGCGAAGTTCCGATTGAATTTATGAGTCTCTCTTGCAATTCATCTTTTGAATGATATGTGGTAGAAAACAACAAGAGTTTGATACATTTTTCACAATCGGAAAATATCCACATTACTTTTGATGCAAAAGAAAAACTTCGACTCTTTTCAAGTCTGAGCGCGTCGGGTCGGTTTGAAGCACACTTGTGTCTGATTTTCTGTAATACCTTTATCATGCTTCGATTTCTTCACGACGTCCCCTTTATCTTGCAATTACCTAATAAAAATAAGGAACGAAACAAAAAATCTTTCATTACAAGCGTATATCATTGATAAACATCATTGTATTAAGAGCTGCTTTTTATGTCAATCGTAAAGTCAAATAAATCTATCGAAATTATTTTGTTTAATCCTAAATAACGAATGAAATGAAACAAGAATGACTTTAGTCGAATCAAAAAATAGATTTAAAATTTTTGTTTAATTAATTTCTTTCGTATTTTTGCAATAAACTTTCGATTTGATCGACCAAGAAAATTATTTATTGCAACTGATGATTCTTTGCTGTTGTTATTGTCATTTGATTTTGAACTTACAATCGATAGATACAAGTACTGAAAAATCTGCAGTAGAAAAAGAATTTGAATACATTGTAGTCGATGTCAACAATGGATATAATGGAGTGTGAATGTAAATGTGCGTCAGTTCTTCACTTTCACCCATATCCAAATCTTTCAACAAATTTCTGGAAGTAATTATACTTCTGTTGATGTTACAAAATCTGTTTTACAGTTTGACTATGTTGTGAAATACTTTTATTACGCGTTTCTTGTCGGCAATAAATTTGATGTATTTGATTCAATTGTTTTGTTCTTTGAATGATAAAACATATTTTATCTAAGACAATTTCAACCAAATGACACAGATAAAGCAAGATATAATCAAAAGTATCCTTATGAAGAAAAAGCTGCATTCATAACTCATATTCATCAAAAAGTTTAAGAAAACAATTACATAGAGGGAATTGTGTATTTGTTCAATACGAAGGTTGGGGGGAAATTCATTACATTAGGAATAATGCAAGGGAGACCTAGTTCATATTTACGAGCTTCACACGATGTTAATGTAAATATTTTTCTCTTTCGATATAAATCATTTTATTTCGATTAATTTCAATGGTTGGCTAAATAGATGTTACACAGAAATCGCAGATTACACTTAGAAAACCTTTTAAAACTTGCAGACACTCTATCAAAGCAATAATACTAAGTAAACGTAAGAAGAAAAAATTTAAAGATAAAGATAGTTTATGCTATAAATTGATGTATGTTCCTTCTGGATGATAGTATTAAATGAAAAACTTCGATATTCATTTTTCTTTCCATTTCGCTGAGAGCATAGATGCGCGAAGTCAGATTCCTTTAGACGTGGTAACTCTTTTTTATGATCTCGATCTTGGACGGCAGAAAATGACTTCGAAACTTTTACTAATACGAGATTTGAAAACTGCTGATTCCTCATCGCTGATTTATGCAATCAATGGATGTCACACTTTTCAATTTTCTTTCATGAACTCTATGTTGAGGGTGTGGGTGTGGGTATGGGTGTGGGTGTGGGTGTGGGTGTGGGTGAGTTAGGTGTGGGTATGGGTGTGGGTGTGAGTGTGGGTGGGTGTGAGGTGTGGGTGTGGGTGAGTGGGTGTAGGTGTGGATGTGGATGAGGGTGTGGGTGTGGGTGTGGGTGGGTGTGGCTGTGGCTGGGGGTGTGCGTGCGGTGTAGGGTGTGGGTGTCTATGTGAAATGTGGGTGTGATGTGGCTGAGTGTATGAATGAAAAGATACCTACACCCACCCACAGCCACACCGATACCCACACCGAGACTCACATCGACACCTACACACTCACAGCGGCACCCATATCCACACGGATACCCACACCGACACTCACATCGACACCTACATACTCACAGTCATACCCATACCCACAGCCACACCCACAGCCACACCGGCACCCACACCCCACCCACACCCACCCACACCCACACCCACCACCCACATCCACACCCCACCCACACCCTTCATATGAATAAGCCCGAAAGCTTTAATGTTTTATTTGAAAACACCCACAATCTCGCTCAATCGAAATGATTATTTTTGAATATTCTCTTTGAATCTTCTTAAATTTTTTTACTACTAGGTTTAATTATGGAACGAAAACTAATGAGATAATAAATGAGATGAATATTCATGGAGATATGTCCATGAAGAAAATTCTGAATGATCAAAATATAGTTTTACTGCATAGTTCAGTTATTAGGTTCAGCTTCTACTGATTTAACTCTTAGCATATAAATGATAGTTTTACTTAACAATTGTGTTTTCATTCTTTATAGGAAATGCGTAAATAAAGAGATTCGTGAAGACAAAGTCAGAGTATACAGAAAAAGAATACCATGAAAGGACGAATGAGATATTAGAAATAGAACAAATGAAAATGTCTATAGAATCAAGTTCAACATGAAATACTGGTCGATACATTTACAGCATCAAAATACTGAAAACATTTTATCATTATCATCATATAGTTGGTGAGAATCTTTTGATGATTTTAATATTGATTTTTCTAAACTGTAATTAATATCAAAACTGGAGAATTCATCCACACCACAATGTTAAAATGACAAGAAAAAAT